CATAACAGGACTGTTTTGCAGCAGTTTTGGAGTGTTGTGGCAGCTTGGTGCAGGGTTGTTTCATAGCAATACATCAGACTGTTTTTTGACATGGTTTTAGACTGTTATGTAGACAGTACAACAAGTTTGGGCTTGGCAGCATATAAGACTTTGTTCAGTAAGCATCTTGAATCTCTAAAAGATGTCGAATACTTCATCCTTTCGTTTTGATCACATAGATCCACAACCTTCGACCAAACTCATCAACAGACAAAACAATATTTGTTTCCACCAATTGTATGTTCTTCGAATGGACCACATTCATCTTAATGTACCACTTACTTCATTCTTTCGTTTTGATCACATAGATCCATAACCTTCTACCAAACTCATCAACAGACAAAACAATATTTGTTTCCACCAATTGTATGTTCTTCGAGTGGACCACATTCATCTGAATGTACCACTTACTTCGTCCTTTCGTTTTGATCACATAGATCCAAAACCTTTGACCAAACTCATCAACAGACAAAACAATATTTGTTTCCACCAATTGTATGTTCTTCAAATGGACCACAATCATCTGAATGTACCACTTACTTCGTCCTTTCATTTTGATCACATAGTTTCACAACCTTCAACCAAACTCATCATCAGACAAAACAATATTTGTTTCCACCAATTGTATATTCTTCGAATGGACCACATTCATCTGAACCTTTGACCAAACTCATCAACAGACAAAACAATATTTGTTTCCACCAATTGTATGCTCTTCGAATGGACCAACATTCATCTAAATGTACCACTTTGAGTATGCAAGATGATCTCATTGGCATAGTCGAAACGAAAGAATTTCTGGATTGCTTTCCTACCAGTAACCATATCTTGAGTAATCAGTTGATTAAGTGGTCGAAAGTACAAATGTCCAAATATCAAATTGTAATTCATAGTGTCGAAACTATGTGTGTTGAAGGGTTTAGAGGTGGATCGAAGCAAGTTTCTTGAAGGAAGCCATTTCCCAGTCGAAGCTTGTGGATCGAAGCAAGCATGAAGATAGACTTGTAATTCGTAGTGTCGAAACTATGTGCGTCGAAGGGTTTAAAGGTGGATCAAAGCAGGTTGTTAGAAGGAAGCCATTGCCCAGTCGAAACTTGGGGATCAAAGTAAGCTTGCTCTTCTTCGACTTGTCAAAATTTGACAACCACTCCTTTCGATCAGTCATGTGGTTCGATCAGCCTGAACCAGATTTTGAATTCGACAAAGTTATCTACAACTGTACACTTTTTCTTTTATCTGCTTTGCCCTTTCGACAGTTTCCTCTTCCTCCTTTTAAAGATTTAGAAGTTCCATATTCGACCTGATGCTTGAAAAGCCAATATGATCCATGGAAACTATATGGGGCATTAAAAAGTCCAATTGTACTTGTGCAAACTTGAGCTTTTTGGAAATCTTTGTGAGAAATGTCTTGATAAATTGAGATGACAAATTTTGGGGTACAACAGCTACCCCTGTTCAATCTTCTTAAACCTGAAGAGAGAGGATGGCATGTCTCCGTTTACAGCTTGAAGGTAGAAGATGATTGAACACTAGAGTGCCTAGAAATTTGCACTCGACCATGTGTTAGTTGATTGTGTAGGGAATGGGCTTAAAGATGCCATTTTGAGAGATGATGGATAGTTGTCGGAGATTGGTTTATAGATGTCATCCAAAGGTGATTGTTGATAGAAATTAGACTAATCCTAAGCGTGATTGTAACTGGGAGAAGTATCAGAATAAATCTTTGGTCGATTTAATTCTGAATGACATGCTGGAATGGATCTGCGTTAAGCCGTGTTTGGAAATGTATTAGAAGGAATCCGTGTAAGACTGCTTCAGGATGAATCCGTGTGGGACTATACTTCAGGATGAATTCTTATGAAGTATTTGATATATATGATATTTTGATGTTTTGATGTGAGTCTTTGTGATGCTTTGTGATGTTTCGATGAATATGAGGTATATTATGATGTTGAGATGAATCTGGTGTTTAATATAATGATTTTTGTGGTATATGATAAGATAGAGGTGAGTGATGGGATAATAAGATATGTTTAGAATTTAAATAATTAGTTGGAATTATTTAGATTTAATAGTAATTATTTAGAATTATTTGGATTAAATAAATAGAATAATGGTGTAGAGAAAATAAGGGCAAGATAATCATTAGGGAAGAATAAGTGAGGACAATAGTGGAAGACCATGTTAGGGGTCCAAGGGTTAAGTTTGATATAAGGAAGGTTTGAGAGTTTGAACGATCATTTTGTGCGATCGAAAGAATTGGAAGAACGCTTTGGAGAAAGAAAGCTAGGGCACAGAGAGGCAAAGAGAAATCGTAGAACACGAAGAGGAATCAGAAGCTAGCAATAATCTTAAGGTAATGGGTGTTTATCTTGATTATTATAATTGATCTAAGGTTTAGATAATTGTAGATTTAGGTTAGATTTTGGTTGATGATGATTTTATGATGTTTCATGATGAATTGGTGAAATTATGGTGTGTAATCATAAAGAGTTGATGTATATGATGTATGGTATTTTGGATTGTTGTTATGTGATAAAACCATGTGAAATACTGATGTTTGGAGACCTGTAATATGGCAAAAACAAACTGAAATCGGACTGGTGTAGTGCAGAAATTGCAATAGGAAATTTATGTTTGCTATGCATCGTCGGGCGGTGAGGAGTGTCGTCAGGCGATGTTGTGGTCACATGGGAGTCGCCAGGAAAAACGCGAAGCGATGAAGGGCAGAAACGATGAATGTTATTGGAGTGTGTCGTTCGCACTGTCATCGGGCGGTGGGGATGCGAGAAGCAGGTCGCCAGGCGAGCAAGGTGCTTCGTCGGGCGATGGTGTCCAGAATGGAATAGGCGAGTTGTCGCTCCCACGTCACCAGGCGAGATGTAGGCGACGAACATCAGTGGGATTTTCAAAGAGCCATAACTTGAGTTTTAGAACTCAATTTGAGGTATCGTTCAAAGCGTTGGATGGATAAGACAATGAGATTTAGTTAGATGGAATAGAATGAGTAATAAAAAGTATTTTCCCAATACCTAAGTTAGGGTGAAGTTAGGTACCCCGTGTTGGATTACAATGATGTTTTGTTTATTATGATGATATTACGATGATGCTTTGTTTGTTATGATGATATGATGATGTTGGAATGAATTCACGGACGTTGATGCATATTGACTAGTTGTGGTCGTATTTATATGTTGTTGTACATCATACATTCATGGCATATTATAAGATTTTGGTCTAGTGACATTTTGCAGGATATTGATCCAGTGATGTATATAGGACGATATGGTCCAATGATGGCCTCAATCCCATAGTGTGGATTGAGTTCAATTTTGTGAAGTACTTTGGTTCCAAGCGGGAATCGATCTTATTGGTGGGGAACTTTGGAGATAACGATGACTGAGTCATCGGTGATATTTTGGTACCACATGCATGAGTCAAATGAAGTGCATTTTCATTATATATGACATTGGATAATGATTGATTATATGATAATGGTGATGCTAATTGTGATGCTTGATGATGTGTGTTGACATGACGATATAATGATGTGTTCAATATGAGTATATGATGGTGTGAGTATACCATGTGGATGTAACGATGTCTGGTTTCTTTTTGTTATGCCATAACTACTATATTTATTCCTTATGTCTTTTATAATGATTATGATTTACTCACCCTTTCTGTTTGAATGTTTCCTCCACATGAGAAATGCGCAGGTGATTAGGATTAGTGCGATGAAGCTTAGAGAATAGCTTCGGAGTGCGTTTATTTCCTTTTCATTGAATAAAGGGAGTCTTGCTCTGATATGTAATATCGGGGTTGAGATCGATTTGATTGTGAACCATGTATGATTTTGTTATATTGAGATTTTGTATTACTTTATGACTTTTGCCATATTTTGGATCATGATGTGATAAATATGAAGTGTGATGATTTTATTAATATTTGAACTAGACACGCCAACGGGGCGGGGCGGGGCGGGGACAGTTTTTGTATTCCTCAAACCCAAACCCGAATTCAAGAGAAATCCCTGTTACCCGCCCCAATCTCTGTTGGGGATGAATAATTGAATCATAAACCCGCCCCAAATGGGTTCGGAGATCCCCGCCCCACCCCCAAACTCAAAATATGTCTCAAATTCAAAAGCTTCCACAAACCCAAAATTCACCACAAACCTAAAACATGCCCCAATATTAACATATATTAACTTATATTACAAATATAAAATACAATCTCGAAGAATTTTAAACATATATTTCGATAATAAAATACTAACAAAAGTATTAATTTATCAACCATACAATTAATATTTCAAATTAACAAACCAAATAATCCAAAATATAAAAACTAAAAATATTAAACATATCATTGTCTATGGAAATTGCTAACAAAAATAGATAAGTGGCCAAAAAACTATAATAGTAGATAGATTTAACAAATTGGGATATTGTAGCGGTATATAATTGTGATACTGTAGCAGCATATATTGTTAAATCATATATATAATAATAATAATAATAATAATAATAATAATAATAATAATAATAATAATAATAATAATAATAATAATAATAATAATAAGCGGGACGGGTTCAGGAAAGAATTCGGGGTGGATACTACACTCGCCCCGTCCCCCTATCATAAAATTGTAGAAAATCTAAATCTGAATCCAAACCCAATCAAAGCGGATTCCACTATATTTTATTAGGTTAAATTCTTATAAACCTCACTAATAAGAATTTTACATATTCTTTAAAACAGTTTTACCAACATTTCTATTTTATTTTAAAGTAAATACAGTGAGTCATCCAATAAAAACATATCCTTTTCTTATGTCATATAAATTTTTAAAAATGATAGTCTAATTTAATTGGATAATAAGTTTATCATGTAATTATTATGTAAATGAGAAGGTTCCCTCCTTATCTGATTACTGTCGTGGTTGGTAACCAATAACAATGGCGACGCAATCTTATCTTGTCAATCTCAACTCTTTCCATACAGGAATCGCAGGTAACTATTCAACTTTCTTCTACTCCTTTTTCTTATCAAACCCACCTTCATTTCACTCTTTTTCTTTTAGGACCAAATTCAATATTCAAACCTGCCAATTTTGGCTTTGGCATCTGGGTAAGCTTTCTTATCTGCAAATTTCTCTCACAACTTTCACATTTTTGTATTTTCTACCTTACTAGTAGATACTTCATGTATATAGAGTTAAATTGGGGAATTCTGACATTTGATACTTTCTTAGGTTTTGGATTAATGTTAGAGGTTCGAGTATTCACTTGTTTTTCTTTAGGTGTTTTTCTTCTATTTATTCCTAATCCTACTAGTATAAGTCTTTTTACTCTTGTGACAGAAAAGTTTGAAGCATCCAATTAGAAGAAATGTCAATGAAAGTTCCCGAATCATGCAATGTTGTTCATGTTACACACAAGTTGGAGCAGCTTCTGCACAGAAATGTCTTGATTTGAATCCGAATTTGAATAGCCTCAACCTCAACATACCAGAAACATTACACACTTCAGCTGATTTCGTGAAAAGGTTGATGATTTTCGGTGATCTTGATCCTGCTACTGCGAAATTCGCTATTGGATTTCTAGGTCCGTTCCTCTCAGCGTTTGGTTTTCTCTTTATCGCGAGAATAGTCATGTCTTGGTATCCAAAGCTTCCTGTGGGAAAGTTTCCTTATGTGATAGCTTATGCTCCTACGGAGCCGCTTCTCGTTCCTACTCGGAAAGTGATTCCACCTCTAGCTGGTGTGGATGTTACTCCTGTGGTTTGGTTTGGATTGCTTAGTTTTCTTAACGAAATATTAGTTGGTCCACAAGGATTACTAGTTCTTCTTTCCCAACAGGTTAATTAGTGTGCACATTTGGTGTGTTTGTGAATCACATAGTTTTCTATCTTATCATTCTTTTTGGATTTCAGCTTAATATCCATACCTTGAAATGCAATGTTACATTTTCTTACAATTCATGCACTATTTAGAATTTGGTTTCCAAGAGGATATCATTGAAACGGTGGACCACATCAATAGTCTATACGTTCTTTAATCATAATCATATGCCTCATAGTTTGTTAGGTTCTATAACTAATTATTGTTACCTTAGGTATACTTATGTTGTTTCTAATAACAACTTTGATGTATGAGATTTTAGACGGCCGCCTTTTCTTTATTGTTTCTCACACTATGTGTAAAATGTTTTTGACACAACATGCACATATGGGAACAACATGTACTTAATGGCGCCCTTAACACTTCGGTAGTCGAGCAGGGCGTCAATGTTTTTGACGTGCTCGTCAAGGTTAGTTGTCCCATCATATGTTCTTAAGTTTGGGGGGTTTTCTAGTCAGACGGGGAGGGGAGCTTCCGTGATAGCCCGAGACAATGAACCGCAGGGATCTTCCTCATCGCTCCAGCCTGGTGATTATGATGGAGAAAAGTTGTGCTTCCCTCGTCGGAGAAATTGTCTCGTCCAGGAGATGGACTTCTCGATCTGCTCTTCGGTTTCTTGGCCATCTGGGAGAGTTGGTCTCTCCGAGGAGGGTGTGATCACGTTTTTTATGGCTAAGAGACGAGCTTTGTCTTGCTCTTGGAAGTGATCATGTCATCAGGGAGACAGGTTGTGTGATCTTTGTCATTGGTGCCTCCAAGGAGGAGACTTTGACTGGCGAGCATTTTCCAACGCCTCAATCCTCTCATTTTGTTGGTGGATTAGGGAGTTGGTTTGGTTAAGATTTGTGAGCAGGGCAGCCATAGCAAGGTCAGCGTTGGGCGGAGCAGGAATTACCTGCGTGTTCTCTAGTTCTCCTTCTTGAGCCTTCTTGATATTGTGAGCTTCAACGGCGACGTCTTCAGCCTCGTCAAATGATGGGGAGGAAGTGCGACCGTCCCTCACTGGGATGGCATCTTCAAGATAGGGCATCCTGCCACAGTCATTTGTCTTGCGGATAAGGGAGATAATGGGTTTGTGGGCATTGTCGTTATCATGACTGGCCATGATCGGAATCTTGAATATGTGTTTTGATCTTTGATTTCCAGGGAAAGAAAGATGGGGAAAGCATATTTCCCATAGACAGTGGCACTGATCTTACTGATCGATCAAAACTTGAAGTGGGCCAGAGACTTTAACTTAAATGGTGGAAATGAGGAGGAGGATGGTGTGTCTGCAAGGTGTTATACCCTAATTTTCCCCTGAGATTCTCTGTCATCTCATAGCATCGTATTATATCGTGATCACGTTGTCTTCAAGCTTCGCTCCGCACGGTTAAAGCGAGTTTGGTTGCTTGGTTCTCAAGACTCTTCGAGATAGGTTCATGTGTTTATTTTCATGTCTTATTCACCAAGTTTTTCTTTTTCCTCATGATAAGTTTATAAATTACGTAAAATACGTAGGCACTTATTAATTTATTTTACAAGCAATCAATATAACACCCCCTCCCCTGTTATCAACGAAAAGTGATAAAACACTTATTTGAACTTTTTACTTGCACACTAGTCAAAAATGGAGAAAATGACTAAAAAACCACAAAGCAGCATGCAAAGTGTAACACTCAAGGCTGAAAAGGGCGAGGAGTGGTTGCACCGCATGTAACACTTGAGGCTTAAGAGGGAAAAGGTGGTCGCCACATCAAAATGAGAGAGATCCTGAGGCTATGCAGGTATGAGACTACATGGTTGAAGGAAGGCTTATAAGGATTAATTGGTACTACCTATACCAACAAGATGCATCTTCTTTTCGGTAGCTCATTGATAAGAACTACATAGTTAAGCGTGCTTAACTTGGAGCAATTCTGAGATGGGTGATCTTTTGGGAAGTTTCCCGAAAAGCGTGTGGATGAGGATAAAACACGTTAAAAAGACATGTGTTGATTTGTGGGGTCAGTCAATAATCCTGAAGGCAGCTTGGGGCGTTACAAATGGTATCAGAGTCATACCTCTCCCAGTACGATGTGGTTCGAAGACGAACCATACGGAAGTTGGTGGACATGTAACATAGAAAATTTTAAGGTTAAGTTACTTCAAGGTGAAGGAAGGATTTGTGTATTATTCGAAGATAGGTGGTGCATCTAGTGAGCTATGGAGACTAGGGAAAGTTGTGGGACAAGTGGCATTGTTTAACAAGCAAGAAAATATGTGCGCTAGACAAAGATGGGGGTGTGCCTAGCGAGCCTACCTTTCTCAAGCCAATAAATAAGGGGGTTGAGTTCAGTTCAAATGGAGTTTTGATGGATTCAATGTAGTATAAAAAATTAGGTTCACCTTAAATCTTACAAGAGAGAATAATGAGGGATTGTTATAGATATTGTTCTCTTTTGTTGGAGTTAGGTGTAGTCATCATTATACTCGTGTATTAATTAAGGTCATGACATTTTATATAATTTTACTTAAGCTTTAATATTGAGGATTCTTCGTTTTTAATGCTTGTTTTGGATTAACTACCTAAAACATGATGAAAAGGATTTTTGACAGCTGTGGGATTTGAACCCATGCCCTTTCGGACCAGAGCCTAAATCTGGTGCCTTAGACCACTCGGCCAAACTGTCTTGATGTTTAAATGTTATCACCCTTCGTTAATTATATCAAATATTAACGAAAAACAGGTGAAAGGGTGAAAATGATTGAAAAACCACCAAGAAACATGTAAAGACCTTGCCAAGACTTTTTCTACAATCAAGGTTTGTTAGCCCATGTATTAATTACGGTCATAATGTTTTATATAATTCTACTTGATGTTTAATATTGATAATTATTCATTTTTAATGTTTATTTTGAATTAACTACCTAAAACATGTTATACGTGACATTTAAAGGGTGTTGCTTAATACTAGATTCAAGTCTTCATCTATATGATGTTAATGCCTAGAGAAAAGATCAGGTTTAACATCCGCAAAGATACTAATAATTGACATTTTTATTCACTCTTGGAATTTAATGTTATTATATTAGTTAATAGGGAAGATATCATTTATTAGGCAATACAATTAATTTCATGTCATTGATTTAGAGATGAGCTACAATGAGAATAACAGATGAGAATATTAATAGTTTAATATAAGAGCATATTCCTGATCAATAATTATATATGAGGATAAGGATGAACAAATCTAATCCGGACAATATTTCTCATTATTAACACCAAAATCTCAATTTATTTTCGGTCATTTTATTTTCTGTAATCAAACAACTCTAAACAACCCTTGCTTTAGAATCATTGTTGAACAAGTTTTTAAAACAAAGTCGGTCTTTATAGATACGATAATATTGCACTTGTTTCTTTCACTGCGACACCTCCACCCTAATGTACAACTGAACTAAATTAGAGATCCTATGATCAAGAAATGTATCTTTCTAGATTTTAAATCAGGCATTAAAGGATATCTCATTTTTTTATTTGAAAACTAGATGCACTATTAACTTTAGAAATGTCATATTCTATAAACATGTTTTTCCATACAGTGAATGCTCAGACTTGAAGCAGACACTTCTGAGAAATTCACAAAATTTGAGGATGTAACCTTCATTGATTTTCCTGACCAAGATGGCCGCAAGCAAGCCAGATAAAAAAATGACTACAGTGTTACCACTTGCATGGAAATCTCTGAGCATTCACCGCCATTTGTAGTAATACCCAACAAAATATATATTAGACAGAAAAAGCCACCAAGATAGTGTTGAATATTGAGATTAGATTCCACTGTTTTTAGAATATTGAGTCTTGTCTAAGTGCTCTCATCAAGAGACCAACTTCGAGCAATAGACTTACATATATTCAAGCACAAGGTTACCAATTTAAATAAACACCCAAGATGCTCAAAATCTACAAGACACAACACACAAAATATAAACAAAATTTCAATGAGCATAATTATTATTATTGTACAGTATATCTCTTCTAATGATTTCGTACACGCTCATTTAGAGCTCCTCATCTCAACAGCAAATGTTTGAACATGTAACTAGAAAACAATTCATATAAAAAAGTTAAATACTATTCAAAAGAATATCATTTTCGGAACCTAATCTACATCAAATGCTAATTTACAAGCGGCTGACTTGGTTTCTGTAAAACCATCTTCAGGAAATAGCTGCTGCATATTTGAATTGTTATGCAGGTTGCATCTGATCTCGCTTAAGAGCTTGTTGGAGTTGGATGACCTGCTGTTGCTGCTCTGGTGGCAGGGAACTCAATTGCTCCGGTGTTAGATTCAATACTTGTTGCAGCAAAACAGACTCCACATCAGATGGAAGCTGAAACAATCCAGATATAATAAGAAAGTCATAAAACTAATCAGAATAACAACATTAGACGGTGAAGCGAGAGAAAATTCATGCTTGAGAAAATTATACCTGTGAAGATTGTTGGTCAGGTTGCCGCACTTCTGATTTAGGAACTGCAGGTGCGGATAATAAACTACTTCCAGGAACATGGGATGATCCGTTGGAGACAGGCACGTCTAAAGTCCCAGATGCGAGAGAGGATTTCCTTCCCTCATTCAATCTAGTGAGCTTTACCGGGCGAGTGAAGGATTCTGGAATATCACGAGTGATGCCTATATTCTCTAATCCCGCAGACATGTTTGAATAATTACTACTATTTTTGGTCCATTCCTCGGGAGCTTTGGAAGATCTATCACCTTCCTTACTAAATAACTGGGAAGTACCAGATGACACGGAGGGGTCGGCCTGTTTAATAAAAGGAAGTTAGGTACTTCACTCTTAAAGTAAATGCACAAAGCAAGATTAATGGAACTAAACTCATGGTAAATTCTAATATGAACTAAACGATTTACTTAGGGGTGTTCATACAATAATCAATAAAATGGATTGGATTTTACAACCTTTTCCAAAAACCAGTTTGA